GGGGGGGGGGGGGGGGGGGCAAGTGCCCCACCTTGCCACTACCTGCGGGCGCCCATGTGTGGATGGGGTTGGGCGTGTTTGGGGACTTGATTTGACCTTGGGTATCATCATGCATAGCAAGTTATAGGAGTACGAGGAGAACTCGTTGAAGTTTTACTAAGATCGTAAAGTTGTCATCAAATGGAGAATTTTGAGACACTTTCGCCTTTTTATGACGTTAGGGCAGGGCTGGAATAAATTGGATGCTGCGGGATTAGGCCCGGCCCATTCCTGAAGTAAGCCTAGATGAAAATTTTCCAGATGCTGGGCAGTTTTCCTTTACAATATTAACCTCAAAATAATTATTAGAATTAGAATGAAATTTGAAGTCCCACTTTCGGACGTCTAGGCACACCGTGACTTGTCAACAGTTACTATCGTTCTTTGCACTGTGACGTAACTATAACGTCCAGTGCCAGTCCTGTGTATACGCTGCTGCATGGAGGAGAGCGGCCTGCTGCATGGAGGAGAGCGGCCTGCTGCATGGAGGAGAGCGGCCTGCTGCATGGAGGAGAGCGGCCCTTTCCATGGGTTTGAAAATTCGAGAGAAGAAATATGAAGGGAAAAAATGGGAACAAAATTATGAAGAAAAATTAAGACAAGAAAGAAAAAAATGGCGACTGCTAAGGATGATATCATTTGCTTTCTTAACATTGGCCGTCAAGATCCTACAGTCAGCCTGAATACAGCAACTTACTTGGTGGCATCACTGGTCACCATGGTTCAGTTTTAACGGGATAGATTTGACTTGTTAGAGTAGAGGGCGACCGAACAGATTCAACGCAGCGAATACAATTCTGAAAAGCGGTGAGGTAGTATGCGAAAGTAAATGGCTGATGAAGGAACTGCAAATGAATCAGACCTCAGAATAAGGGAATCTCTCAGAACTATCTGGTCATGATCGACAGTCTGTTAACTGAACTGGCAAAATGGATGAGGGCGTATGATGACATTTGTAAAACATTCGGATTTCTCTCGGAGCTAACGTCATTAAATAGATCAAAGACAAGCCAAAGAATCTCGTTTCCTCTTATGCACTTGAAAGACACACTGGTGGCTGAGCTGGTACAGGTTATCCACTTGTGCGTACCCAGAAACCACTGAACGAATCAGCAGAGCTTACCATGTTGAATATTTCTCAGACATTTCCAAACGTTGAGATTGGGTTGCACATCTCACTGTGCACGATGGCGTCCAATGCGTCCGTCGAGCAGAGCTTGCGACAGAGCTTCTCAAAGTTGGGAAGTAATCAAAGGAGAGATGCGGTGCTCAATGGGGCAGGAAAGGCTAAGCATGCTGGCGATGATGAGCATGAGCTGCTGGCCAGCCTTGACCCAACTGACACGCTCGAAGAATTCGTGCTTGTTAAGGCTCGAACAACAGCAATATAAGTAACCAGCAACAGTGCAGTAGTTCTTCTCCTTCTACATATTAAGGGCCCACGATCCATGTAGGCCAGACCTTAACAACTCAAAATGTAAGACGGCCCGTAATACTAATACTTTATGAAAAACTTGTGCGGGCCAAAAGAAAATAGGACAGGGGGGAAAGCTATTAAGAAAATAATAAGAATAAAGAATATTTCGCTACCTCGCGGGCCACAAATCGGGTGCTGGCGGGCTGTATGTTGTGCAGGCCTGAGGTAGGCCTATTGATCTTTCTGGCTCCTATGTATGTAGAGGGGATTCGCAATGTTTTTGTGCCTGGTATTGAAGAGAATACTTCACTGGTTGCAAGGGCTACACAGCGAGGGTATGAGGAACTGGGGGGTTGGAAGACCTGAGGCAATAGACGCAAATGTGTCAAGGGTTGTCGCCTCAACTGTTCCTTTTGGCAGCTTGTTCCAGCCCTTGATTGTCTTTGGCAGGAATGAGTATTTAAATTTGAAAGTTTAGTTGTTATATATTTGTCATCATAACTCTGGGCCCATAAATACACTCGGCCTACGCAACTCCTCTGGGTAGGAGAATAAGTGTTTATACATACCTTTGTTCATTGAGGAGTAAAATGTAAGGAATGATAATGAGAAGGTAAGTAGGGTTTGGGGGATTTTGGGTTGGGATAGAAATGTTATAGTATATTGTATCGAGTAGTGAGACCATTGTCGAGTCGAAATAGTGAAAAAAAATTTCAATTCCATTGTAATTTTAATAGATAATAACTACTTATAACACAGAAAAACGTGATTCGCGTAGAAAATATATGTAATGAAATCAAGTAATCGAGTAGATGAATTTCTTAAGAAGCAAAAATTGAATTACAATATTTGTTATTCTTGATATAAATATTAATATATTATAACTCTGTAATAATATAAGCAAGTTTATATTTTAAAAAAATAGCTGATTTAGAAAACACTTGCTTTAAATTTTTAAACCTAATTGAAGAAAATAGTATCGATATAATTTTACGAAAGCGTAGTTATCGATGACGATATAAATACAACAGTGATGTCAGTTCCTGAACTGAACCTAGAAGAATATTTATTCATACTGTTTTGATTAGTTAATTCAATACACTTACAGAAGGTGATTACTTAATATTTTCATATTTATAGGACATTTAAATAAGTTAAGCTCAATAACTTCATATCTGGCGCTCTCATACCCTAAACTAAACCTAGCGTAAGCCTGGTTTTGTTGTAATAATTGTTATTTGCTTACAGGAGAACCCATTTTCGACGATTCGCTGTATACACTGTTGTGCACTTTAGTTCTAAGTTGTCAAGTATACTAGTAGTAGTTATGTAGATATGGCTGCTGACATTGACTGACTGAATCATTCATTCATTTATTTTCATTTAGGCTAGGCTAGTGTTAGTGATATTTCTTTCATTCGAAATTGGCGTAGGTGAAGCTTGGCCTGGCTGCTGCCGCTCATACATAAAAAAAAATTAAATTAAATATTTCGATAGATTATGTTGTAGCTGTAATCTGTGGCAACGGCGTGTTGTCGGCAACAGGGTGGAAACAAGAAGTGTCGAATGTATTGCACATACACATGGCCACTATAAAAAATTAAGCCCTGGCAAGCTACAATTATTTCTTCAATGTGTCTACACGTCCGGCGCGTCGGACAAATAGTGCGAGTGATATATGTCCAGCGGGCATGTCACGTGACCGCCGGACGACTAGTTGTCATTATTTCGAACGAATTGACTAATTGGGAGATCTTGTCTGGTCTTGAGGTAGAGTGTTTGCTTCACGATATTATAATTAAATTTGTGGATCAATGCCCAGTATGGGATCGTTTTTTCCCCCCCATTTTAATTAAAAATATTTTATATTATATTTATATTATCATGTTCATCAGCAACAGTAGTTTCATGAGAAGTTTTAAAATATTTTGTAGCAATTTAAACAATTTAAAATTAAATCTTTTACTTTTATTGGTTGCCTACTCCATACTGAATACTAAATACTAGCCCCTAATTTATTTTATGGATTACTGGTACACAAACTCAAATAACAAACTAAACAAAAATGTTTACAAACCACTTTCACTTAAGTTTTTTCTATTATTTGCATTCAAGATACTCAGTACATTACTTGATAGAGAAATATATTTTAAAGTAAACAATAGTTTTGAATCATTCGCGGTCACGTGACAAGATATGTCTTGCCACTTTGTTACGGCGGTCATGTGACTTGGTCGACGGACAAATAGTGCGGAGATACATACAGTGCGCTGGACGTGTAGACACTGCCTTATTTCTTGGGCTCAACTCGCTCCGCCCAGTCACTTCAAAATTATTAAAATTATTTAATAATATTATAATAAGTTGTAAGACTTATACTAGTTATACTAATAGCAAAGTTACTAAAATTTAAGTTACAAATGATCTTTAGTTTAAGTTAAGTGTTCACATATATTTTCAATAATCAATAGTGTACCGAGTACTGGTATCCCAATGGGTTTTTTTGATTCCTTACTTAGTCTAAAAAGTCACAAGTCAGACAAGTGCATTTCTAAAAAGTTTGGTTCATTTGTATAACATTTAACACAGTACGGAGAAGTTTAGGAAATGTAAACACTCCACCCAGAGGTGATAAATTATTAAGGTTTAATTGCTAATTTCAGACCATAACATATCCTTCACAAACCACTCCTACAAAGGACGAAGATTACTTTCATTTTGTAAAGAAATAAAATGATTCTTGTCTACACTAATAGAGCTTCTACTTCTATTCATTCAATGATTCATAATTGAATAACTTATTTTAGGCTTAACCTTCTTAATTGAAAAATAAACTCACAGATATTGGTGAATTGGTTGTATTTATCATTTGGGCATTATTATTTCATCCCCTAACTGAGGCTACTAAAGAGAGTGGCAACCAGAAGTTGAACAGAAACTGCAGTTTATGATCTCTCCTACAATTTCTTAAATGTCTTCCCCAAGCAAGTGGTACTCTAAACCAGTTGTTCTCAACCTTCTTAACTCACAGCGCCCTTTTTGGAATCAATGTCTATGATGGAGCCCTTTAGGCCTATCCTATGTCATGCAATGGTGTTGGGGGGGGGGGGGGGATCACGGAGGCTGTAAATGTATTTTTAAAAAAAAAATCTTACTCTAAGATAATTAAAATATCCGCAGTCATGCTTTCTGTTCTTAGTTTTGGATATTACTTTTTAAAAAAAAATGTCATGCAATGGTGTTGGGGGGGGGGGGTGATCACGGAGGCTGTAAATGTATTTTTAAAAAAAAAATCTTACTCTAAGATAATTACAATATCCGCAGTCATGCTTTCTGTTCTTAGTTTTGGATATTACTTTTTAAAAAAAATTACAGAATTAAAAAGAAAATGCTATGGTTGTTATTTTTATCATTGTTCATTAGAAAAAATTCCTGACCAGCTGGCTCCCACTCAACTCTGAGATAATAAATAAAAAATGTTTATTGTCTTACTTCAGGTGACAAGGCATAACTAGTATGTCTGACAGTGAGGACAGCACTTTCGACAGTGATGCCGGGGAAGACAAGCAAGGATCTGATGGAGAAGCCAGCACTAAAAATGATGGAAGTGACCACAATGAGGACAGTGACAAAGAAGGCAGTGAGAAAGCAGCAGACAGCGATGATGAACAAGAGAACTCGAGAGGAAAAAATGTAGATGATGAAGCAGAAGAGAGTGATGGCGAAGAAAAAGATGGCGATGAGGAAGAACCCGACGGGGAAGATTTAATAGACGATGAAGATGTAAGACCCCCATTTCTGAAATTAAACAAAGCTTTCTAGCAAATGTTCTTGTTATTCTGAATTCTTCAAACAAATTTTGTTAAAATTTCATTTTAAAAATGTCATTCTAATTGTTTCAAAACAGAATTAACTTGCTTTGTATATTGTTTTTTTAGGAGTACGATGAAGAAGAAGATGAAGAAGAGCAGACAAGAGTGAGAAAGAAGAAAAGAAAAGGCGCACTAGGATTCATCATTGATGAGGCCGGTAAGTCATGAATATCTGTTAATCATAAAATATTTATCCCGCCTTTCAATAATTGAGAAAAATATTGAAGGGGTTAAAATTGGCTGAGCTCTCAACTTTTTTATTTAACTCATTCCTTACGGCAGTGCTACTTCCGTACGGTACTTAATTTATATACCTGAGAAAGGGAAGTAACTCCATTTTGCAATTGATTTACATTTGTAAATTATTTTTTTAAGCTGTTAAATATTAATTCATGTTTATGAATTGAGGACAAATGCATCGAAAAATTAATAAGGTTTAATAAAAATATAACATAAGCGGTGAAAAAATAATGATCAGTGACAAAGAAATTGATTTTTGGCACCTAGGACAAGCACATGCTAAATATAGATGAGCCATAGTAAAGCATACATAAATTAAAAGTGAAACAAGATTAAAAAAACTTTCGGTTTTTAAATCGAAATCTATGCAGAATCAAGCCATTGCCGGAAGTCTCAAAGGATGCAAGATTTCATTGCTATTTTAAAATTAAAAAATAGAGAGGTGTGTCGCTATGCGCCAGGACGCATTTGGATGCAACTGTCAAAATCCCCAAAAGGATGCAGTTAGTCTCAACCGTCGGGAATGAGTTAAAGATCAAAACTATTTATTAATTCAATTTAAGGTAAATCAATTTTAATGTTTTTTTGAGGCTGAAATTAAACTAAAATTCTTTGTTAAAAAAATCGATTCAATAAATTTGTGAGAAAAGGCCCATGAAAATGTAGATATGTAATTTTATTCTTTTTTCACAGATGTTGACGATGAGGATGATGATGATGACGGAGAGTGGGAAGACGGCGCTGAAGAGATTATTGACAGAAAATCAACATATGATGCTTCTGAGCGAGAAATTGAAAGCCATCAAAGACTCCGACATATCTGGGAGTAAGTAAATAAAATAAGGTTCCATCAAAAGAATGGGTTAAAAAAATAATATAGGCTGTAATGGCAGGACTTTAGGGGAACAAAATAATATGGGCTACAATGATAGGACTTGTACTTGTAGGGCATCAAAATAATATGGGCTACAATAGCAGGACTTGTAGGGGAACAAAATAAATGTTGTATATGTCAATGAAAGGTCTTAGAGGGGAACAAAAATAAATGATTAAAGTCATGTCCTCTTTTGGTTCAGAATTCTGTTGTAACCACAGTTAAAACTTTCCCCACTGTTGTAACCACAGTTAGTAATTTCCCCCACTGTTGTAACCACAGTTAGTGACTTCCCCCACTGTTGTAACCACAGTTAATGACATGCCTCACTGTTTTAACCACAGTAAGTGACATGCCTCACTCTTTTAACGACAGTTAGTAACATGCCTCACTCTTTTAACCACAGTTAGTAACATGTCTCACTGTTTTAACCACAGTTAGCAACATGCCTCACTCTTTTAACCACAGTTAGTAACATGCCTCACTCTTTTAACCACAGTAAGTAACTTGCCCCACTTTTTTTTTCTATATAGGAGTCAGAGAGAAGATGAGATTGAGCAATACTACAGACAGAAATTTGGTAATGTGACAACTGCCGAGCGCTATGGAGAAGGAGAGGAAATGTCAGACGAGATCACCCAGCAAGGTCGGCTGCCTGGTGTCAAGTAAGCTCACCAATTCTCTTACTTTTGACACAAGTAACTTACTTTTTTTTTTTAAGAGGCTGTATTCCAGTTCTTGTTGTTCAATTAAACATGTGTCCCTGAATAATATAAACAGATGTAATATTTTGTTTAAAAAGTGAAAGCAATTGTAATATTTTGTTTAAAAAGTGAAAGCAATAACATAAGCCTTCTTTTAAAGACCAGATGTGTCAGTGGTATAATCATGCTCCAACAAGTTTTTTCAGGAATTTATTTTTCTTGGAAACTATTTGGGGGCAAAAAAAATCGTTTTTTACTTCAATTAAATGTTATTTACTCCAATAAAATGTTATTCTAGGGATCCTAACTTGTGGGTCGTCAAGTGCAGAATGGGTGAGGAAAAGACTACTGTGATTCACATCTTAAGGAAGATGATAACCTATCAGTTTACTGAAGAGGTAAGGATATGATAGTTTTATCAGTATACTGGAGAGGTGAGGATAGGATACTTTATCAGTTTACTGAAGAGATAAGGAAAGGATTGTTTTATCAGTTTACTGAAGAGGTGAGGATAGGATAGTTTATCACTTTAGTGAAGAGGTGAGGAAAGGATAGTTTTATTAGTTAATGGAAAAGGTGAGGATAACATAGTTTTATTAGTTAGCGGAAAAGTTCAGTATTTTATAGTCTCATAGTTAACTGAAGGGGTAAGGATATCTTATTATTACAAATAAGTTTGTTTTCATTGTCTGTATGTCATGAAATATTTTGGTCAGTCACATGACATGTTTCGGCCAATAAGGTGCAATGTCAAATTGATATTTTTCTATTTTCCTTTTTCAGCCACTTCAAATCAAGTCTGTGGTTGCTAAGGAAGGTCTCAAGGGCTACATCTACATTGAAGCTTTTAAACAGACTCATGTCAAACAAGCTATTGAAGGCATTGGAAACTTGCGAATGGGTTACTACAAACAGCAGGTAATAAGGGTTGCTACAACCAGCAGGTAATGTGTTACTACAAAGAGCAGGTAATATGTGTTACTACAAAAAGCAGGTAATATGTCTTTCTACAAACTGCAGGTAATGTGTTACTACAAACTACAGGGAAAATGAAATAAAATTTGTAATTTTTAAAAAAAAAAGCATGTAGAATTTTGTGTGTGTAAAATTCATTTTTAAAGACTTTAGTTTTAAAGTCTCCATTAGTTCTTAATAAAATATAGATTAATAATGATTTTCTTTTATTTGACTTAAATTTTTTACATCAATGTTTTCTTTTCTTGATGATACTTGATGAAAGTTTTATTAGCTTTCTCAATTAGACATTTGTTCAAAAGATTATATATCAGAGATTGCCATATTCCCAAATATTGTTAGCTTTCTTAAAAAAAATTATAAGGGTCTCTAATGACACCTTGTCATTCTTAAGATGGTGCCCATTCGTGAGATGACTGATGTGCTGAAGGTGGTCAAAGAAACAGCCAGTCTCAAACCAAAGGCGTGGGTGCGACTCAAAAGAGGTATTTTCAAGGATGACTTGGCTCAGGTTTGTACAAGTGCTAACAAAACAAACAATGCCCAATACATTTAAAATATATTGAAATTTAAAAAAAAAAATAATAATTTGACTTCTAAAAAAAATTTATGTCATGCTTTAAATTGTATGCGTGTGCTGACCTTAATTTTTATCTGCACACACAGATATGGCGTGGATGTAACCCCTTTTTTTTTAAAAAATAAAGTGCTTTGGATATGACTTCACTCTTCTGACCTGGTTTACTGTTTGTTTTCTCTATCTCAGGTTGATATTGTGTATCCCTCTCAAAATGAGGTCGAGCTCAAACTGATTCCCAGAATTGATTACACACGAGCCCGTGGTATCATGCGCAACTCTGCCAATCAAGATTCAAAGAAGAGGAAGAGACGCCCACCTCAGAAGCTGTTTGACGTTGATGCCATTAGGTAATTAATCTAATGCAGCGTTTACCAACCTGTGCTCTGCGGAGCCCTGAGGGCACCTCGTGTACTTCTCAGGGACTCCGGGGCTACCACCTCCCCTGTGACACTACTCCTAAACTCCATTAACTTGTAAGGCATAGTGTAGGGCTAAGGGACTCCCCCATAGAAGGGCTCCATGAGTGAAAAAGATTGGGAACAACTGATCTTATCCCTGTGAACATAACATTCCTGTTACCTCACTTATCGAAACAGCAAAGAGCATAATCTTAGCGACAAAGCATAATTGTCAGACATTAGACTTTATGGTGTTACATCTGTCTGGGGAAAGATCAAGTTAACCCTGTTTAAACTCATGTGTCTGTGAAAAGATCAAATTAAGCGCTGTTTAAGCTCATGTGTCCGTGAAAAGATCAAATTAAGCCCTGTTTAAACTCATGTGTCTGTGAAAAGATCAAATTATGCCCTGTTTAAACTCATGTTTCTGTGAAAAGATCAAATTAAGCCCTGTTTAAACTCATGTGTCTGTAAAAAGATCAAATTAAGCCCTGTTTAAACTCCAGTGTATGTGACAAATAAGAATCACTTGTTTTTTTGTCATGTTCTTTGGTGTACAGGGCCATCGGCGGAGAGGTGACATCTGATGGTGACTTTCTCATGTTTGAAGGCAACAGATACAACCGCAAAGGGTTTCTGTTTAAAGTCTTTGCCATGTCCGCCATTGTAAGCTCTGATTTTTTATATATAATTGTTGATTTTAACTTAGTTGTTGATCTCAACTTTTACTTATTGAACAAAGTTTTAATGGGTAACTTTAAGATGTGTTATTTTATTTTTTGAATCAAGTCAAAGCCAGCTTGTATTGAAAGCAGCTTTGAAGCAGGCATGGTGAAATGAAGAAGACTGATGGTTTCTTTTACCTGTGTTTCTCCAGATTGCAGAAGGGATAAAACCAACATTGGCTGAGCTAGAGAAGTTTGAGGATCAGCCTGAAGGGATGCAAGTTGAATGTATCCTATTAACTCAGTACAACCCCTAAACAGTCAGTTTTTAATTTTAAATTGGCCTCTCATCTCAGTGCAACCCCATAACATTCAATTTCTAATATTAAATTGGCAGTATTTAAAAAAAATATATATTCAAAACCCTTCTGTATGAAATTTAAGAAACACTTTATCTTGATGGTCAGAATATTTTAAATCATTTTGTAATTTGATGTCTTAGGCTTTTATAATTAATGAGGTATAATTATTAAATGTCTTAGGCTTTTATAATTAATGAGGTATAATTATCAAGCTATCAATTTATATATTATAATAAAAGTGTTATTTTTACCTTTTTTTAAAAATACCTTTTTCTGCAATCATTTGAGCAAGGGTCATGCCAGCCGGTTGAACTGGCACCACATGAATGCATGTGCCACCTCTTAGGTGTTAAGTTTCTTTCAATGCTGTACCAATGTTTTGTTGGCTCCTTGACTTCACCGACCAGTGGTGCCTGAGAAACAGGAAAGTGAGGTGGCTCACACCATGGCGCCAGGCGACGTCGTCGTCGTGGCGGAGGGGGAGCTGCAACACCTGCAAGGAAAAGTTATCAAAGTGGATGGAAACAAGATTACCATTTTGCCTAAGCATGAGGATCTAAAGGCGAGTGTTCAGGCCCTTTTTTTATATTACCTTTCTCTTGACCTGCCTTCAGACTGACGCTGACCTGTGATAATTTCGATTTAATTGAATTACCTGTTGCTTGGTAGCTAAATAAATTGATATATTTCTAAGATTCATTAATGGTCAATTATTTGGAGTCATCATCAATATCCAAGGTCATATATTTAACAAAAATTTTTCAGAATTCATTTGATGAAAGTTAACAGAAATCCAATATTATACTTCAGGATTCATTTAATGCTAGTTAACTGAAATCAAATATTATATTTTCCATGATTCAATTCAATATTAGTCAAAATGATATACAAAATATCTCCAGGATCCATTGGAATTCCCTTACAATGAGCTCAGAAAGTACTTCAAGATGGGTGACCATGTTAAAGTAATCGCTGGCCGTTACGAGGGAGATACTGGCCTCATTGTGCGAGTGGAGGACAATGTTATTGTTCTGTTTTCTGACCTTACAATGCACGAGGTAAATAATTAAACATTTCTAATACTATTTTGCTCTTATATGTCATTCAATTATGAAGGTGGTTTAATGAAATTTTAAAAGAAAATGCATTTAATGATTGCTCTCACGGACTATTTCCAGCTGAAAGTACTGCCGAAGGACATACAATTGTGTGCTGACATGGCCACGGGGGTTGACTCCCTCGGACAGTATCAGTTTGGAGATCTTGTGATGTTAGAGTAAGTAGAAAAATATCATTTTTATACACTTTTCTCCACCTAAAATTAATTTAACAATGTTTCTCATACTGTTTAAGTGTACCTTATTTTTCTTGTTATGTCTATTTTATTTTACTCTGCCCTATTGTAGGGACAAATAAATTTTTCCATAGTGTGTGTCATGTACAGATATCTCTACAAAATCTGTTCATTGCTTTGTCTTTCCTTTAATTCAGCTCCACCTACAATTCATTCTACTCATAGTTGTCTTTTTTAAATGGTTCTGAGCTCAGCACGATCAAATATATATTTTTTCAGTCCACAGACTGTCGGCGTCATTGTTCGGTTAGAGAAAGAAAACTTTCAAGTGCTTAGTATGCACAACAAGGTATTTTAATATTGATGGTTTGCAAATCACAAACTTGACCAGTGAAACAGTTACTCTTCTGCTATAGTTGGACATTCATACGACAAGCACATATTTGAAACGTGCAGTGCATTTACCACCTCAATACTATGATTTACTTTTGTTTTGGATGAACCATCTACAATAAAGTAATGTATAAGTTTGTGTGTGTTTCCAGGTGGTCAATGTAAAGCCCCAGTCCATCACGAGAAAGAAAGACACAAGGAATGCTGTCTCTTTGGATTCAGAAAATAATAACGTTCAAGTTCGGGATATTGTCAACGTCATTGAGGGACCTCATTCAGTAAGCAGTGTCTTAAACTGTCTATTCCCAGCATTGCAAAAAATGAAATTAACACACACACACATCCCAATAAAATTAAATGATATGTACAGCCCCACCAATGATGATAAAATTACTTTTCTGTTCCAGATGTTGCAAAAAAAAATTAATATATATATAGCCGTGCTATCGATGATAATTTACTTTAAAATTTAACTATAAAATTATTTCAGGGTAGAACTGGCGAAATTAAACACTTGTACAGAAATTTTGGATTTCTGAACTCTCGACTGATGACTGAAAACGGAGGCTTCTTTGTTTGCAGAACGAGACACTTGACACTTGCTGGAGGAGGGAAGGTATTAAGAGAGCTTGTGCACTGAAGATTAACTAATTATAATTTCTAGTTTAAAAGTGATGTTACCTTAATTTTTCTGATTTATGGAGACGTGGGTTCCCACTCACCTTAAAAATAAATTTGTGTCACCAATAACGATTTTAATTTAATCTGCATTTTTCTCTAGCAAAATCTCACTCAGGCCGTCAATGGGTTTGCTCCGATGTCTCCAAGGATATCCAGTCCTGCTCATCCCAGTGGAGGCGGTGGTGGAGAAAGGGGTAGAGGACGGGGAGGAGGAGGAGTGGGTGCTGGAGCGGGAAGGGGTGGCCTGTCAAAACGTGATAGAGAAATCATTGGTCAAACTGTCAGAATTATTCATGGTCCATTCAAGGGTAAGATATTTTAGCAAGCTAGTTCACGTCTATTTCAAAGCTATCTCACTTATTAAATCTGTTTCAAAACTTTTAGAATAAACCATTGGAAATGGTTGATTTTCCATAAAAATACCTCCTTGAATATTAAAAAGATGCCATATTTATTTTTTCTTTTCTTTATTTTTTACTCACACTGTCTCATTGTGTAAACGAAGCATTACACAGGTGTTTCTTGGTCGATATTTGCCATTAGAATCAAAGTTTTATTTGTGTTACATATGTTACTTAGAATCCTGCAAAATAGAATCCTGAAACTAAAGAACCTGGAACACCAGTCGGTCCAAGGGGATTTAATGTGTGAATGTTTTGAAAAATAGTTTTTTAGACACTGGAAACCACCCCCCACCCCCAGCTAATTTATTTTCCAGTTTAAGATCTTGTTGAATGTCATGTACTATGATCTAAGACATTATTTTTTAGATACCAATAAATATCATCTCTCTTTAGGTTACATTGGAATAGTGAAAGATGCTACAGAAACCACAGCCCGTATTGAATTGCATTCTAGCTGTAAAACAATCTCTGTGGACCGTACCCGTCTTTCTAGTCTCACGTGAGTTTCTAATTTATTTATTATTATTTTATTAATGGCGAGGTCTTGATATTAAAACCGTTAGTGTAACTCTGAGGTGGAGTTTACTGAATAACTCTAAGGTGAAGTTACTTAATAACACTAAAGTGAAGTTTACTGAATAACTCATAAGTAAGTTTACTGGATAACGTTTAGATGAAGTTTACTGGATAACTCTTAGATGAAGTTTACTGTAGCTACAATTTGGTTACATGAATTTAATTATGGAAAATCCCATCTGGTCAATTTCATTGTGCCATATCCTGTATCTAATTCAGCTGGCCAAAATATAATTATTACATTTATTTTTTTTACACCAGTGGGTCAAAGCCAGCTGGGGGACAGACATCCACGTATGCGGGCCGTACTCCAAGCTATGGTGGTCAGACGCCAATCTATGGATCACGTACTCCCATGTACGGATCGCAAACACCACTGCACGATGGATCTCGAACACCTCACTATGGTGGTGCCACGCCGTCGCATGAGTCCGGTGGGAGAACACCTAGTGGTGGAGGAATGAGTGCTTGGGACCCCTCCAATGCCAACACACCATCCAGGTGAGGGCTACTTTTGGTATATCAAGATTGTATCAAGTGTTTAAAAAATGGATCAAAGGTTTAAAAAAAAAAATGGTTCAAGGGTTTAAAAAATGTATCAAGAGTTTTAAAAACGGTAAATTAATCATGCTTTTGTAGGCAGACTGAATCCTCGCTGATTTCTGTGTAATAAAGTTTGATGACACACTGTGACAAATCTATCAGTTGTTGTCACAAATCTGTCAGTGGTGTTTTGAATGTTTGTGCTTTTTGGAAAATTATTTTGTGAATCCAAGTTGCATTTGCCTTTAAAATATTTTATCAAATAGATTGCGTGGAATTTTTTTTATTGGGGATAAATGCAATTTATTTCATGTAATAGAGTGTTAGTGGGTTCCGTTGAGGGGGTTCTGTTGGTCCCCAGAAAAGTTTTGATAAATTTACACACCTGATTTTAGTTTTGCGTAGAAACTGCCAACGTTTAAATGAAGGCTACAAAAAAATTGAAACAAAGAAGAAAAAAAAACAACGAAACATTAAAAATTCATTTATGATGTAATTTTTTAAAAAATGAAAAGAAATCGCCAAAATATTTATATTAACCTAGCTACTGACATCTACCGAATGAATCATTGTTTTATTTTAATTTTATGCAGCTGTAGTGTAGTCAGAGTGTATTAAGAAACTTCGATCTCTGTAAATAATATTTAAATTTTGAAATGATAATTCAAATAAAAAATAAACAAAATTCACAGCAAGGACATTATTTCATAACTTTACAGTTTCATTTAACTTACATTTCATTTTGCACCAATCGCTGGTCAGTTTTCTATTATTATTATTATTTAGTTAATTTAGTAATAATGTACATAACCTTTACATGCTCTTTTCATTTCTTCCCATTGGGTGGAACACATTATCCAAAGTAATAAGATTACTTATTTTTTTTAAATGCCCGTACCCGGTTTGGTGTTTTTTTTGTGTGCCAAAAATGAGTATGTGCCAGGTGTGTTGATACTCTGCATTTCTGGTTAACCGCGTCAGTACCTGGCCCAGCCCTTTCTGAAATCAGAAAAATGTTCAATATGTCATTTTACTTTTCGTTCATAGAAACAATGATTTTGAATATAATTACGATGATTCACCCTCACCCGCTGAATTTGGAGCCACACCCAATCCTGCAACCCCAGGTTACCATGCAGATTCCCCAGGACCCACCGGACCATATACTCCACAGACACCTGGCAGTGCATACTCTCCATATCCTGTTCCCTCACCAGGTGGCTTCGAAGGTATGCATCAAATTTACAAGTTTTAATTGGGCTTGAAATTTTGACACATGAGTTTCTTTTATTCTTATTTTCTTGAGGAAGAAAGTGAGGGAGTGAGAAATCTTCGATCCAGCCTGTCAATGGGTTATGTTTAAATAGCTAATTTAGATTTGAAAATGTTCAGACACATTGGATATGTTTCATAATGAAATACTTGTCGATATTTAGGGTTTTGATGAGCTGCAATTATAAATTATTAGAACACTATTTTCAGTGTCTTTTTACAAATAAATTAATAGTAAGCACAAAAATTAAGTTTTATTTATCTTTCACTACATTTTGTTTACTTCCAGCTCAAAGTCCAGGTTTTGTTGGGACCCCAAGTCCTGCTACACAGTCTAGCCCAAGTCCAGCAAGCTTTGCTGGCAGTCCCTCTCCCATGGGTTATAATCCAATGACACCAGGAGCTCCTTTCACGCCTCAAACGCCTGGCGGAGGTAATACACACTTTTAATAAATAAGTCTTAACCTGTTTTTAATCCAAGCATGTTTCCTTTACAGTACTCCCTTGTTTATCGCTGTCAAGACTCTACTGCGATAAGTGAATTTCCGCAAAGTAGGATTCTTTATTTATTAATGGAATATGTTCGTAGTTAGAGAATAGAAAACCTGTTCACGACCCTCTAAATACAGTTTTAAACATTATAAGACTCTCTGGGGATGCTCGAATGCATAGGCCTACAGTCCATATGTACAGTAATTTTAATAGTAATTCATAGATGTATAACTGACTCAGACAACTGAGTGCGCGCTGTATCATTTTTAACTATTTCGATCAACTTTTTATTGAATGCATATTATATTTGAAAAAAATCGTGATAGATTGAAGCTGCGAAAATCAAAGAGCGAAGTGGCGAGGGGTGACTATTAAAAGTTCAAGTGTATAGAATGATTTCTTAATTCAATCATTTTTAATGTCATTACTGACTTCTTCATAATAGTGTTGAAAATGCTTATCATCAGTTTTCTGAGTACAAATCCTTGTCTATTAGCTCGCCTGAATGAATTTGTGTATGGAACTTCTTCTTTGGTTATTGTTGCCTTCCTTCCTGTCTTTCTCTTCCCTTCACAAATACTGTGAGCATGAGGTGAAAGAAGCCATTTGTATTCTTTTGAACTGATTGAGTTTACAAAATAATAAACTGTGTTTGTTAACTTATCAAGAACTTTTTTTTTCCTTCTGAAAATTAAGCGTCCGTAATACACTTTGTGGATGTGGATCAAAATTGAACCTATTTATATAAAAATCGATGTTGTGTTTCAGGCATGGAGACAAGTTTGACAGACTGGTACACCACAGACATCGTTGTGAAAATAAAACCTACACATGAAAACTCCAAGCTTATTTATCAGACGGGTGTCATTAAAAGTATTTCTGTAAGTGTTTTTTGTTACAAGGCCAGCTTAATCCTTTACACTCGGAACACACCCTACAAACCATAGCCGAACCAAAGGGTCTCTGCGTCACAAATATGTTTTAATTAATTGACAAACTCATTTTGAAAAAAAAAAAAAAGAGTCCAACAAAAGTAATGTTTGTTGCCATAATTGCTCTCTTACTGGTTTCTGCTATTGACAGTTTCATAAATAATGAAATGTAAACATTTTTGTTTGTTTGTAATGTAGAGAGTATGATGTGTTTGAAAATGAGGATTGGGATGGCATATTAACCCATTCAGTTCTCAGGGCTCGGAAATTTTATCAATTGAAACCCTACCCAAAGTGGAGCAACTTAGCAATGACCATAGATTGGTTTAGAAAAAAGTTAAAACAAGTCCTATTTTGTAATTGTAAATTTATGTGACATTGATTAATTTGCATTCATATTTGGTTGCTTTATGTGTTGCTTTATGTGTTGCATTACATTTTTTCCCCAATGCTTTTGTTGTGTAAGTTCCTAAATGTCAAACTATGATGAAGTACTCCACTGATCATGATTACAACAATGAAAAAAAAAATCTGCTAAGAAAATAAGATTGTTCCTCGCTATATCGATAAAATAACAACAAAAAATGGAAGTAATCTCCTTTGGTCCCACGGCTTATGAGACCTTTATTTCATAACAGTTACAAGAATACATAGAAATTTATTTGATGTGTTACATTCACTTCCTGGTATAATGAAAGTTAACAGGCAGCCTTCTTCTTTAAGCTCATTAGACAGATTGTCCTAGAAAAATATTAGTTCATCTGACTTTTAAATTGTAAAATTGACTATAGATGGATAGTATAATGCATTTTTTCCCCACATTAAGTTGATTTTTGTCCTCAATGGCCAGGTATTTTATTGATAAACTTGACCTCTTCTCCAACAGGGTACCATGTGCACTTTATACCTGATAGATGAAGAAAAGACAATCAATATAACATGTGAACACTTGGAACCTGTTCCCCCCAATAAAGGAGAAAAGGTAAGCATTTCAACATTTTTTAAAGTTTCTCTCCATTTGTCTTTTAACACTCAGATTAACAGTTATATAACTATTATCCAGTGGTTCTTAGCCTTTTTGTGTGTGCTCACCTCACCCTATCCTACATAGTGAATTTCCGTGGCGCACTAATGTACATGTCAACGACAGTGGGAGGGGAATAACTTACAAGACGTGCAAGAGACTTATCTCAGTTGAGGAAATATGTTTGTCCTCAATAATTCAAATAGTTCGTTTGGGCTGATGCCAATAAATCCCCCATCAAATAAGTAAGTTTTAAGCTCTTGAAATTTTATTCACTTCTTCTTTCCAAAAAACAAACAAAACTGGATGAAATTATTTTAATTACTTTTAGCAGCAATATCACTACTTCTCGACAGTTTCGCTGCACACTTCTGTGCCGCAGCAAACGGGTTTAGAACCAATGCTGCAAAGTGGCATCTTTGGAAAAAAGATGTAAAACCCCCTAATAACTAAATATTTTGTTCTACTCTCAGGCCAAGATTATAGCTGGCGATGAAAGAGAGTCCACAGGATCCCTGATGAGTGTTGATGGAGATGAAGGTGTATTGAAAATTGACTCCAAAGAAGAAAAAGCCAAGATACTAATGTTGCCTATTCATTTTTTGTGTAAGATGGCCGACTAAAAGAATTATTTTTTTGTGACCTCTTTATTATGTCTGTATTAAATATGTATTAAAAAAACAATAAATTAAAAATATGAGAACTGGAGTTAACATTATTCTTTCATCCAGTCCATTAAAAAAAAAAAATGTAAGGAGGAAAGAACAAAAATAATGTGTCATGATTGTTATTAAACTAAGATATGTCTTGTCTAAAATGAAATGTATCTACAAAATATATAATTTTATTTCACAAAAATAGCTCAAAACAATAAGATTAGGTAACTCCTAAATTTAGCTTTTTGTTTTAGCTTTTCTTTTAAACCATCACCATATTTATTGATTAAGGATTTGACTCAAATCTCTACACGCAGCTTCTTGCCTCTGGAGGAAAAGTAACACGATTGCTCACACAGTTTTACTGTGATTTTGGTTTATTTCCCTCTTTGTCATAGTTTATAAATGCAATACAATGACAAATTTTTGTCTTCTGAATCCGGATCCAGTGACTAATGAAATTCTATCGAAAAAAGAAAAATGAACATGGTGTCTTATCTTACAGTTAGTACTTTAAAATGATGTATCTTGTACAATTTCAGTAAGAGTATGGTGCCTAGTTTTAGAACATTTTAGGCATTATCTTATTTATTGTGCTGTATGACTTCGTGTTGCCGTCATAAGGCATAGTTGTTGAAGTTAAGAGCGAAACCAAATGAATTTAAATCAGACAAATGTTGTACCAGATGACACAACTCATTTCCCAAGAATTAATGACTTTTGCTTCATTAAGAATTCTTAATTTGTCCTCTTCCCCTTTCTTCTGTTATCTCCAAATACGAGTGAGTTATGTCTCATATGAAGTTTTGGGTCCATGATTCTAATTCTATAGACAGTGGTTTCCCTTTTTTATAATATAACATGTTTTATTTTATTGATGTCTGACCTGCCAATCTACTTTTCTCTGAGCTTTACTCCCCTGATAACACTGGCAGCAAACACACACACAAAATGTGAGAATATTTGTTTGTGGATTCATCCATGTGGGGAATTTCCAGTGTGTGCAATCTTCATTTGAGGAATATATCCTGTCCAGAAAATGTTTTGTGTGTGGAATAATTAGTTCACTCTGAAGTGGTATCACTTTCTGTACAATAATTGTTGAATAGGTAATGAAACACATCTTCTAATACCCATTTCATTTATGTTTTTGTTAAATTAAAAAGGTTTTTAAAAATGTGTTTGGATTATTAAGAAGCTATTAAAATGACTAAAAAAAGACAAGACATGCCTATAGTTAATGATGACACTGCTGTGTTGGTGTATGTCAGTGCCTGGTCTCACAGGGATCAGATTGATTGATTAATTATGTGTGAAAGGTTTATTATGCTTCAAAGACTTTCTTGCCCTCCAATAGAATGGTTACAGACTTTTAAGTGGATGAGACTTTGAAAGTTAAAGGAAATAATCTTCCTTATTAGCAAGTGTTTTACAATAATTTAGAAGCATGCTCCATATTAACAACCAGTAATCTAAATTTTAAAACCATAAAGAGCTCTGGGTGAATACAACCATCACCGTTTTTTGAAGAAGTTATTGACTGCCACTAGCAATATTTCTCTGCAGAGTGATGTTATACGGTGCTGGTAACTTTAAAAAAATGCTTTGTATTATTTGATGTGTAAATATAGATTAATATAACAAAACACTCACAAAAACACTCACGAAAAACGGTTCAACAAGTTGTATCTCCCATATTTTATTGGAATCACAAGTTTACAGCTTCGCTTCAAATAAAAATCCTGATATTTACAATGCATTAGCAAATAGTGTATGTGGGCTCAGTCTAACAAGTTGAATATACTTTTTTTTTTTTTTTCTACAGCAGAGGAACTGTGACAAAATTTAAAGTTACCACATCCTAGGCTTGTCTTAGTTGATTGGTTCATTAGCACTAAAACTAAATATAATTATATTTAGCTATCTTAAAGAATTTTAAAAGATTTCCTTCTGTTCATCTGAACATTTCCCACATTCGCTTCAAATAAAAATCCTGATATTTACAATGCATTAGCAAATAGTGTATGTGGGCTCAGTCTAACAAGTTGAATATACTTTTTTTTTTTTTTCTACAGCAGAGGAACTGTGACAAAATTTAAAGTTACCACATCCTAGGCTTGTCTTAGTTGATTGTGTCATTAGCACTAAAACTAAATATGATTATATTTAGCTATCTTTAAGAATTTTAAAAGATTTCCTTCTGTTCATCTGAACATTTCCCACCTGTACCATCTGTTTGTTCTTGCATTGAAGGCCTAAAATTATAAACCAATAATCAGTTTTAAATATGCTGGTAATTTTTTTTTTCTTTAAAAATTATCTTTTTGAAAAGCAATTCCTACAAGAAATGCTATTACTTCATTCAACTTCAATAAACAATTTATGAAAATGATTTTAAGAAAATAGCTACTATTACAACTATCAACACAAACAAAGACTGAGTTGCCAGCATGAATATACAATTAAATATGACAAGTAAACCTAAAATAAATGCTCTTTTAAAAAAAATAACGGCAGTGGAAAAAAATGTCATTAAATTACTAAATGCAAAACACTAAATAATAAATATTCAGAGTACAACTTTTCCACAGAGCTAAAAGTTTATTAGGATCAAAACCATTAGGTCAGACTTTGACTCTAAGTTCAACTTAGACAAGATCACCAGCTTTTTCTGCTTGAAGAAAACACTTTAATTAAGTACATTAACATTTCACATGAAAGACAAACATGCACTCCAGCATGTAGATGTTCAAACAATAATAATTTAAAATTTTACTTAAGTTCAACAATATTGCAATTTCTTTTGTGAAAAGGTCACTCTATATTTATGTACAGAAGGTAAGGTAAGTTTTAAAATAAATGGGGAACAATGTGTGTAGTGTAATAAATATTCTGTAATAAAATTTAACTACTTATATTAATAAAAACAAGCATTATCTTTTTTTCTCTCCAAGTCTTGATTCCACCTGCACTGTGCTATATTGAGCAATTACAAACAATATATTTTTTTTCTTCTCTTTTTGCAAAATTCCAACTGCACTATGCAACAATGAGCAATTTTTCTCCAAACAACCCCATTGTATTTTCCTCATTTGTGTCATTTTCAAGGCTGATGTCCAAAATGAACCCCCCCTCCCCCTTTTTTAAATTCATCTTTCATTTTTTTAAAAATTTTTTACCTAGAAAAATGCACTCAATGGTTTTAGTAGAGCACCACAAATAATATACTTTTAAAAAAAAGTCAAAATTACTATAACACAAAGGTGATCTAAATTTAATGCCAGCTGGCTAGTTAAAAAAAACAACAAAGTTAAAAAAAACAACAAACTAGGTTCTACTTATTACTTGGCCATAACCACAGGCAACTGTACACCAAACAAGTATCACAATGAGTTGAAGATCTGCAAATTTTAAACATTGCAAAATATTACAGTATGTTGTTTGATGATTTGACCAAAGTGAGACAAATTTCATTATAGTTATATGATGTAAATGGCATGCTTAATACAATAATTTTGTTCCCTAACTGCTTTCGAATAAACTGATATTTACCTAAAAAACTAAATGCTGTGATTGATATAATGTTATAAATGAATAAAACAATTTACTTGCATTGGATTTTAATGTTAGTGATTATTGAGATTAAATGAAATTTTATTTACTACTATATTACTACTGACTGTTAGTGCTATATTGGTTATATAAGACTAGAGACCACAATAGCTATATAAAAATAATATTGATGTGAAACATGCCCATGATAAATGAAGACATGAGCATTTAGATTTTTAAATAACTCTACATTTACCAGTACATAAAATTAAAATCAATGATGTATATTTGTTGGTTCTATTTTACATATGTACAATGTCTTTATTGTTCCAGCAGATGTATTTCATGTCAGTCCTCTTACTGTCCGCCTGTCATAAGGTCTCTCACTTCCACGCTGCGCCTTTGCTTCAGCTTGTCAAACAAGTCTATGGGAATTTCCAATTCTTCGACTTGATCTGTGCTGACCAGTGATCGCACTTTTTGTACACAAATATCCAATAAGGACAACACTGTCAATAAATTTAGTTTGGGTTAAAAAGTATTAATAAGTATGCATAGCAAAATATATCAAAATTTAAAGTAACAGGTAAATAAATTTGTACAGTAATTTTTAGGTTTCAAAGATTTAAAAAGTTGACAGTTATAAAATAAAGGAAGAAAATAGTTTAGTCAATAAAGAGTATAGTTTGGAAACATTCAGATGTAAATTAAGAGTATGAATTTAGTCCTACTTGGTCTGTCAATGTAAACATTTGTTCTCTGTCGCTCTCCATTCCAGGGCTTTGGTAAGTACACAAAACTGTTGTCAATGACAACATTTTCCAATGTATCCGAGTTCCAGGCTATCCAGGGATGGGTTACGTAGGTATTTTGATAATAACGTTTCCCAGGCTCCAATCTTTTCCAGTAACGAATAAGGTCACCATTATAGTCAATCCAAACCACATCTACAGAAAAATTTGTTCTGAAAAAAAAAACCAATTATAAAAAATTAATTTTAGCATTTAATTATATATATATAAATCAATTCACATTTTCAAATTTAGATCATTAAGTTGAAATAAATGCTATGTACTGTACATTTCTGACATTTTATAGAGCCCATTGAAGTGACTTGGAAATATGTGTCGTTTATGATAGATTTGCTTTAGTTTAAATTAAAAACTAAATTAATTATACATTATAGTCAAGCGTTGACTGAAATTTATTTTAAAATATTCAAAATAATATTTTTTTCTGAATCCTGAGCCAAGTGGAATTGGAAAAAAGGATGTCAAAAATCTTGACTTTAGAAGTCAGACAAAAATATGTGACTCGCCATTTATGAATTAAGAAACTAATGCTACAAGTTAAAGTTGTGCAGTAAATGAAAAGCTTGCCCTGCGGTTTGATTATTTCCTTATGCATTAATTAAATAAAAATTTGGCTATACCTGTTAATAAATGTTACATATGCCGGCCAGTCGTGATGTAAAGATCTAGGCCGCTCTTCAGATGACGGCATCATGTGTATGCATGAACATCACTTAGTGTTGTTTTGCTAGCAGATGAAGGCAGAAGTCTTTACAAAAGTAAAGTATAACACTACGTCTTAAAACTTATGAAAGTGAAAAATCAAATAATCATGTTTCACACTTTCAAGTCTACTACTGACAAGTAAAAATAGGATTTAGTCTTCCAGTTACTAAGTTAAGCTATTAATGAAAGATTTTAGGATCAAATAATGTCTGCCCTGTGACTCTACAGTAACTTCTTATTCTTGGCTGATGTTAACGCGAGCGTTGATAAAATAACCAATTGGAGTGGACTGAATTTGTGTGGGATTAACAGCTGTCTCTCCAGGAAAAGCTTTAACTCAATGGCCCATTACTTGTACTTGCATGTATGATTTTTTTTGGAAAATATTAAATTTCAATGTTCAACTTTGTACATAAAACTTAAACGAGTTTATTTAATCACAGTTTTAATTGAGTATCAATACTTTCAATGTAAATAAAATATTCCTAAGTTTGCCCTTTAATTGTATCCATATCTATTACAAAACTGGTGAAACTCGACAGAAATAATGATAATAAAATGATAATTACTATTAATTGGTCTTCTTTTAGAGTTCAAGAAAGATGATTGAAGTCTTAACTTCTTTATCTTAACTTACTTAAGTAAATTAGTAAATACAGTTAGTCACTTATTGCGGCTTGGGCCAAAACTGATAATATTATGACAGTGCAGTGGCATGGCTAGAGTTAGAGGCGCCCAAGGCAGGATATGAATTTTGCCTCCCCCCACTACATGAAAATAACTCTGTTTGCTGAAAATGCAGCCGCCTGCACTCCATATAAAGAAAGTGTGCCGCTCCAGCTGGTCCGGCCCCTCCTTCTTACACCAGTTACAGTGCAGTCCAGTGGCTCAATCAAGTGACATAAGAAATAATTATTCTTGGCTAATGCAAAGAGAATGTGCCATACGTTTCTGTTTTGGATTCAATCACTTTGTTTTTTGTTACTGTTTTCCTTCATATGAGCATTGCATTTTTTTTAAATTAAAATTTTATTGGTTGATTGATTAATTAATTATAATTTTAAAATTTCATTGGTTGGGTCATTATGATATATTTTTTACGCCATATTTGATGGATTTGAGGCTTCACGCCAGGCCTTGTATTTTATTCATTCTCTGGATATTCTTTTTGGTGGAACCTGAAATAAAGTGTGTAAAAGTGTATTTCATGAAACTATAAGTTGAGTTTTCATTATTTCTTTATTTTATAATTATTTTTTGCCATTTTTTATTCATTTTTATAGTTTTCTTGACACGTGAGACAGTGTCAAATTGCCACGTGTTTTGTACTTGCGGCTTTAGCCACTTTAGGGTTCAGGTTAGGTTCAGGGATAGATTTAGGGAGTTCAGGTTGGGGTCAAAACCCTGGTTAGGTTTAGGGTTAAAAACCTGGTTAGTTTTAGGGTTAAAACCCTGGTTAGGTTTTGGGTCAAAACTCAGGTTAAGTTTAGGGATAGATTTAAGGTTCAGGTTAGGTTTAGGGATAAGGACATTTTTCATTAATTTTTATCGTTTTATTCCTAAATTTAGCAAACGTGAGTTATTTTATTTTTCCACGGCCACCATCTTGGTAAAAGTTCACCAATTGCAGCAACCAAGATGGCGGCTGTGTGATACGTCATGGCGCATTCTCTTTGCAGTTACCTTATTCTTATTAATATAGCCTAATATAGGCTAGCTTAATCAATATAATTATAATATACCGGTAGGTACTTTGACAGAAATGTTAAATATTGTCGTATTGCAATAAATGATACATAATTTTAAAGGGCTAGTTATAAGCTTTATAAAAACATCAATTTTATCTCCCTATCTTTTATATAAGTGGAGTTATGAATTTTTTGGTGACTTTTTATTAACCCCCTTCTTATTCTTTATCTTTGTATTTAACTGCAAAAAAGTGTGACCGACTTCCATATTTCTGCATTATTTTTCCCTATTATAATTTTATAGGCCTAATTATTAATTGCCATGATTTTAATTTCATTATTTGAAATAACGGCTAATGATAGTTGTGGATGCCACAACGTCTTTCCGGTGTTTATTAAAGTTGCAGTGAATTAGGGTTCAGGTTAGGTTTAGGGATACATTTAGAGTTCAGGTTAGGTTTAGGAATACATTTTAGGGTATAACATTGACATTGTGAATCATTGTACAAATAGCCTATCTGATACAGGGCCCACATAACTAAATTAAAATTTAACTTCTCAATAATTTTGAGTCGCAAGTCACAAGACTGACAAGTGTAAAAAATACAGACAGTACTAGTGATATGAGTACATTTACATAATAAAGTTAATACAGTCTCTACACCTGACTCTGACTGATTTAAGTTTAAGGCAAGGCCCAGGCTGTACTCGCGTACTGTACAATTGGTGAGGTCATAAGCTGCAGTTGCATAGCAAATCACATTCAAATAAAATCAAATCATACATTTTTTCATGATTCAGGACTTTCGACACAATACATTTATTAAGTGTCAAGTCTTGCCTCTTGAGTCAACTATTGCTATGTTACACTAAGTATAAAACACGACCGTCAATAATAAATAGGCTTACTTAGCAGGCTAGCTAGTAATACAGTAAAAATAATACAGTGTAGTACGGTAGTAAAAAAGAAAGAAGTTAAAAAATTCAAGTAGAAGGAGTAGTAAAAAGTTGGGGAAGGCTTGCTAAAGTCAGTCTAAGTATATAGTTTCATAAAATCTATTAGTTTTAGGTAGCCAAAGTTTAAACTTAACTGTTGTGACACTGTTGTCGTTGTCTAAGTGAAGTTTAGTGAAGTCTAACTCTAATAAGTAAATAAGTAAGTCTAACTGAAACTGTCACGTTGACACAATAATTGAATATTTTTATGTAGGACCAAGTGATTAAGCCCTGAGAAAATTAAAACAACCACACAGTGAACCTAATACGAAATTAGATGCGGAGGTTATTTTTGGAAAAAGTAATTAAACGATAAAAAAAAATAATTGATAAGAAGTATGGGGACAAAAATTGATTACAAAGTTTGTTGTCGTCGGCTAAATTTATATCCGGGTCAACTACGCTTGCCTGGCATTCGTACTCAATTCAGTCCAAAAAAAAAACAAAACCCCGAAGTGGCTGCGTACACCGTGGCGGTGTACCTAGCAAAACTATGGACCTAGCCCTGCGTACACCGAGGCAAAAAAAAAAAAAATAGCATTATCCTCATCTAGGCCTAACCAGGACTAATTATAAAATAATAATATATACTATCTGAAAAAATTTACGCCCACGTACTATCGAAATCAACTATTATTTATTTTACAATATAGGATATAACAGAAACATGCTAATAAGAGAGAGAGAGAGAGAGTGAGTGTGAGAGACTGCAGTCAGTAAGGTAGAAGGAAATAATAAGTGAAACAAGGTATGGGAAAACCTTAAAAAAGTACGGGGTACTCAACGGAAACGTCTGTTATTTTGTCATGTATTTATTCAGGTTCCCATACTTGGATGCTGGGTGACCGAGTGGTGTAAACTGATCCAATCACAAAATCATGGTATGGAGTTCAATCCCCAACAAAGCCAAAACTTGGATGGCAACTCATCTAAGAGAATGAAACTCTGAATTCAAACCCGGAGATGGCGGCAAACATCTAAATAATGAATCATTCCTGTGACGCCACTGATGCCATCGCTGAGACTACTGAGAGCGCAGTGAGCATGCCGCATGCTAAAATAGCATGGATAGAAGCGCTATATCGATCAATCAATAACAATACCTTTAATTATTAATAGCTTATTTGGATGTTGAGAATCATCCCACTGTTACTCATTTGCGTGTTTATTATAGTTGCAGTGAATTAGGGTTTAGGTTAGGTAGGTTGAGTGAGGGATCGATTTAGGGTTCAGGTTAGGCATAGTATAGGGATCCATTTAGTTTAGGTTTAGTCGTGAGTGAGTGACAGAATTAACTGGTGTCAACCAAGATAGCGGAAACCCCGGGGATGATACTCAACATTTACCGCTTATTTATATTTCCTTAACAGAAATAGAAGACGCATGTCATGTCCATGACTTTTGAATTTTATTTAGGCAATTTAGGGGTTATTGTCTGTGATAGCTATCAATATCCTTGCACCATTTATTTACCTGGTCTATTACATTAAATTAAAAAAAATTAAATAAGAAATGTATTATTCACAGGCTTTTTTGCAGTTTTATCTTCCTTCTTTACCCAACGTTTGTCATGTGCTTCAACTCGTTCACTGACCCTCACTTTCCTGTCTATCTCTCTGAACTGTTGCTTCCTTACATCCCCACAAGACAACTACCCTTTTCCATTGACAATAGAATAATAGAACCCTCTCAATCCCAAGAACCAAAACTAAGACTATCGCGGTGAACGCTCCTACTTCCATGGGCCCACGTTCTGGAACCAGCTCCCCTTCCACATCCGTCATTGTGAAACCTCGTCCACTTTCAAAATGTCCCTTAAAACCCATCTATTTAGGTCCGCCTATGACCTGTGATGCACCCTCGTTGCCCTGCCTCATTTTCTGTCTCGGGTTGATCCTGTAGTATAGGCCAAAACATGCCAAAGTGTCCTCGTTTTATAGCCATTTTAATTGTTTCTATAGTATAGTAGTTACTATCCTAGTGTCTCATTTTTATTTTACTTAGTTTACATGTTTTTAATAATTGTAAAGCGCTTAGAGCTTTAAGGTAAGCGCTATATAAAAATGCCTAAATAAATAAATAATGACAATTTGTATCTAAAGTCTAATCTAATGCCAATGCGTGATTTAATCAGCCTGATTGTAATCGCAAGACCTGACAAGATCAAGTTCATTAATTAATGGAGATGAACTACTGATAATGATACTGAGATGGACCTCCTACTATATATTAAAGGCATACTTAGAGAACAGGTCTTTTCAGTGATTTGTTTGGTTGATCGCAAGTTAGCGTACTGCCTTTGTTGCTGCCATCCGAGTGACTGCAACAAAAATGAAAGCAATAATCATCTTCTGTGGCATTCTAGCAATTATTGCTAGTGTTATTTCCAGCTCCAATGCAGCACTGCGAAGGTATTATTATTATATTTCTTGTTTAATAATTTATATAATTAATGAGCACAGCAGATAGCTTTACTAGGTACTTATTTAAAGTTATTTACTATTATTACTATTACCGGGTACCAGGACTTAGGAGATTTTTTAGATTCAAGCAAAGGAAATACTGATTCAATTAAAATTTGGCACTCACATTATTGCTGATATGAAATCGTCTGCAGTGGAATCAACACTAGATTTGTTACATGTCGAGCAGTTTAGTTTTGAAGTGTTGTATTTAGATACTTTAAGAATTGAGAGGCTACAGATAGATTTTTTAATAATTTTAGAAATGAAAAGCCATACTGGGGAAGAAGTGACAAATCAGGTTTTCAACTGCTTTTGAGCAGATTGTAAGTCCTATGATAATGCTGCTAACAATGCCTGGGTGTGACGAGGGGATTCAGCAAAAAAATTATTGAAACAAACCAATTTGCTATGTATGTACCCTGTTCAGCCCATTCACTAAATCTAATAGGCCAGAGTGCTGTTGACTGCTGCAAAGAGGCAGTTAATTTATTCTTGATAGTGTAGTTGAGTTGCTGTATTGCTTTTTTCCAACATCAACCAGCTAATGGCAAATCTTTAAAAATTGTCTGGGAGGCTGATACTAAAGTAGTTTAAAATCTCTCTCTGACGCTGCAGCAAATATTGAAGTGTTATTCTAAACATTTAGAGGCAAATCATTGTATGGCTTACGACTAATCACAAAGGGAGATATTAGAAGAGAAGCAAATAATAGAGTCAGTAAAATGCAAGAATTCGAATTTGTCTTAATGTTGAATATTTGGAATGAGATTTAATTTTGTTTCTTCTTAAAGTAAGCCAAATTCTACAGAATGAGGATATAACAAAAAAAACATGTGTAGATCTCTATGAATCATTAGGTGATCAACTGTATATGTTGATGTGTCTTAGTGTCTTATTTTATTTTACTTTCTAATGATGAATGGGATGACCTTGTAATTGTGCTCCTCATGATTTTTTTTCTTTATGTGTCACATTATAGAATTAAGCTTCACAAAGTGAAAACAGCAAGAAGGACTCTCCAAGAACATCAGAATAATGTTTATCATCTCCTTCAGAAGTACAAGGCACTGCAAATTAATGGCCGATTTGACGGGCCACACTATGAACCTTTAAACAACTATTTAGATGTAAGCCCTGATAGTAAACTTTTAGATGAATGAATAATTAACAAATGTCCTTATTTATGATATAGGTGACATCTAGCTCACAACCAGTGGGTAGTGAGTCGGATTGCCTCCATATTTGCCCATGGAATTCCTCAATGACTGCCAAATCTATTGAATATTGCTATGCTATAATGATCTTGTCAGCACAAGGCAGTTTTTCTAAAAAAAAAAAAACGTCAGCCAACTTGGCCTGTAATTCAGAATCAGAATTTAAATCTATCCAAACACTAAGGGAAAAAAAATAGGGGTCTTGAAAAAAAAATTACTAGGGACCATCCAAAGAAGATGTGGTGCATTTTGTGGGGTGGGGTGATACAAGAATTTTATAAGGGTGTGTAACTTAAATTTGATTTGTGGGCTGGGGGGGTTCTCAAAATTAGGCAGAAGGGCGTGATGTCATTTATGGATGGCCCTCAAATCACTCTTCCTCTTTTTTGGTTCTTAAAAAGCAATATCTCAGTTTTTTAATAAAAAAAAAATACTCTGCTAGAGTCAATGATAGTCAGTAAGACTAAGGCTCTAATGCTAAATCTGTTTGTGACAGAATCAGTAAGACTACAGCCCTAATGCCTAATGCTAAATCTATTTTGATGGGTTTTTTAAAAATATTTATTTCCACACCAAAACCTTTGACATTTTTAAATATTTGAAAAAATTAAACATATTGTCATTCAACAGTTTTAAATTGCCTACCGTATAGCAATTTATAATTTATTTTGTAGTGACCACCAAAGTTTGCCCTGTAAACACATGGGTTACCAGTATTGGTACTGTGTCCAGTTGACATCCATAATCTTCATTTTGAAACAAATCAAGATTAAGAGAAAATAAAAAGGATTTCTATAAAAAGGATTTTATAATGTACATTTAAGTTATACTAATGAACGTTGCAGTCCCAGTACTATGGTGTCATTGGTCTTGGCAGTCCTGAACAGTCTTTCAAGGTTGTATTTGACACTGGTTCATCTAACTTGTGGGTACCCTCCAAGAAATGCAAGTGGACAGATGTAGCATGCTGTGAGTAAACACCATAGCTAAACGTTTCAAAAGTGGCCTGATTTCTCAGTATGCTACAAGTTGGGTTAGCTTTGAGACTTGCAATGACTGGAAATAAAACACTGGAAAAAAATGTAGGCATGAGTTCATATATTTGTTGAAAAATAGTTACTTTATTTTTTTGACAATAACTTTTACAAGTATGCTTTAACTGTAATGTGTTTTATTTTTTACTATTGCTTAATCTTTAATATGCCGCAGTTAACTATGATTCAGATATTTAGGTTTATTTATTTATTGAAGTAAAAAAAAATTATATTATTACAATTTTTTTGTTCATTCATGAACAGTACTTCACAACAAATATGATAGCACAATATCAAATACATACAAGGCCAATGGAACTAGCTTTGCTATCGAATATGGCAACGGAAGTGTTACTGGATTTCTTAGCACAGATGTTCTAACAGTAAGTTTTAATGAGGTTTCATGGAAAATTAAATTATTTACCGCAGTGTACATTTTGTTCTTTTATGCGGTCTTGAAAATGTTCTGGAGGCCATGATCTCTATAGGGATGTACTCAGCTGTCTTTTTAAAAAATCAGCTCATTTATCTAATTATAGATTCCATGATCTGTCAATGTGGGTGTGCCTTATGCTATAAATGTTAATTAGAAAAATATTTCATGCAAACTTAAGATCTAAGATAAGAGAGGTAATGTCAAACTAGGGATGGAGTGTAGTGTGGAAGAGTTAACTATCTGCCTTGTTAGTCACTTGACTTTTGATAAAAGAGAGAAAACCTTAGTGTGGATGCCAACAGAAATAAAAAAATACCATAATCATAATGAAATTCTTATCATCTTAGCCTAAACATTTTTTGAATGTTTTTTTAAAAAAAACCCCCACAAATCCTATATAAAAATTGAAGAGACTTTAACGAGCCATAGTTTAATTTTGCATGAAATTTTGATAATTTACTGTATTTTTGCATATTTAAGATGTGTCTAATACAAAGTTTTACATACCCCGCACCCAGGGTGTGTCTGATATATGGATGCATCTTATTTAAAATACTTTTATGCAAATCGCAAAACCCACACCTTTTATATGGGTGTATCAGAAGAGATCTACAATTATAAATTGATAGAGACATCATTATGAAACATGCAAAAACCTCTTTATTCTTACAGATTTCTGGACTTAAAATTCAAAATCAGACATTTGCTGAAGCTGTTACCCAGCCAGGCATCACTTTTGTTGCTGCCAAGTTTGATGGCATTTTGGGTCTAGGCTATGACACCATATCTGTTGACAGAGTTGTTCCCCCTTTCTACAACATGATCCAGCAGAAGTTGGTAGACTCTCCCGTGTTCTCATTTTTCTTAAACAGGTTTGGTTTATTTTGAAAATAGAAATTAATTTCATTTACTTCATTCATGGTACTAAACGTAAGGGAAATAAATATATTTTGCTGTATAACCCAAAAAAATATAGATGAATAGTAAACTTTAATCATTAATATGTTTGTGGAGAGAATTAATGAAGTAAGACGTAGTGTATTAAAATGACTCCCTTATGAGCAACAAAAAGATTGTTTAGATCCACATTAATATAATTTTTTTTTAATGTAGTGATTTTAATATACTTAAAAATCTATTTGTTTTCAACTAAAAATCTTGTGTTATTTATTTCTTATACTGTACAGTTTTGCTAGTTTGCTTATGCTCTGCATGGATTGGCTAGTTAATGATTTAAAATCTATTACCTGTAGATGGAACTTTTTATTTTCTTTAGGAATGCCACAGCTTCTGAAGGTGGAGAAATAGTATTTGGTGGGAGTGACCCAAAATTGTATGAAGGAAACTTCACATACGTTCCAGTGACACAGAAAGGCTTCTGGGAATTCCAAATGGATGGGTAATTGTAACAGATAATTTATCCGCACCATGTAATTTTTACAAAGTTGTTTTATTTGACCAAAGGTTCATTGGACTACATCATCTAAAACTTATTTTTTAATTAAGTTAATTAAAAAAAAAAGTTTGAATATCTATCTAGTTTAGGATTAACTTTTGACATGTTTGAAATGATAAATGAAACAAAATTATTTTGTCTTAGTAGTAAAATGATGTACAAATCCCTCAGCATGATGGCCAGTCTTGCCTGATTTACTTAATAATAAAAAAAAACTGATCATCTTTCTTTTGTTGTTTAATTCATTAAAGCAGATGCTGAACTTTCACTTGAAATTAAAAAAACCATAATGTATGGTTCCAGATTGTCAGTTGCATCCACAAGCTATTGTAATGGTGGCTGCAAGGCTATCGCTGACACAGGCACCTCTTTGTTGGCCGGACCAAGCAGTGAGATTGAAAAACTTAATGCACAAATTGGTGCCAAGTTTATTGAAGGACTGGTATTTAAATGATAAAGTATCATTTGGCTATTAATATTAATAGTATTAGTAGGTTATTTAAGTTACACATATGTTGCATTCTGTACTTTGAGAAAACTTACATCAAAAAATTTAAGTGATTTTTCTAGGGTATTTTTATGGTACTTTAACATTAAGTCTGAATCGATATCTCAAAATTCTTTAAATGTGTCTGTTTCTTTTAGTACTTTGTTGAGTGTGCCAATATCCCAAAGTTGCCTAATGTGACCATTACTATTGGAGGCAAAGACTTTGTTTTGACACCCCAGGAGTATGTACTTGCTGTAAGTATCTTAAATGGTGTTCGTTTTTTTAAATTTCTCTTTTCAATTGGGGATATATTTTACAAAATTTTACATTCTCAGTTGGCATTGTTATCTGAGCTTAATATTTGTAGTGACCAAAGTACTCTATTGTGCTAACAATTTTTCGTTTAAAATAACAGGAAACCACAATGGATCAGTCTGAGTGCATCAGTGGCTTCATGGGATTCGATGTACCTTCTCCAATGGGACCACTTTGGATTTTAGGAGACGTCTTCATTGGCCCATACTACACCGAGTTTGACATGGGCAACAATCGTTTGGGATTTGCACGAACCAAGGGCTCTAATGGAGGTTCTCAAGAAAGTTTGCAATATGACACAAGGAAGAATATGAAGAGTGTCTTAATGATGTCGATGGAAAGGGACTATTAAAGCAACAATCTCACCAATAAACCATTTGTATAAAAGTACAGATATCAGCAATTTAGCTTAAGCTTTTTCATATTACTAAACATCAGCCTTATGATGCTTTCAGGTTTATTATGTTTTCTTTGAGACCTAATTATTAACACAAACTAAATATTGTTGAAAATTGTCTTACTGAATTAAAATATTCAAATTAAATGGATTTATCTATATTTCCAATTCAAATTGTTCTTTTTTAATAGAATAGTGCCTTTGTGGAATGAGACAGCCATAAATAAATCATTTGCATACTCTATTGTAGTTTTTAACTTTTGAATTAACAAAAGATATATTTTCAAAAATTGGTGATTGTTTTTTTTTTAAATAGTGTTTTTTTATAATAAAATAATTATGCAAGTTCTGTCTATGGGGTCATCCATAAAAGACGTCCACACAAAAGGGGGGAGGGGGGGTTCAGCAAAAAGTGGACAAGGGGGGGGGAGGGGGTTTAGGACAAAGTGGATGTCCACATTGTAGTCTAGTGTTTTTTTGAGTGCAGCAGTTTTGCATAAATTTACTGCTAAAAACTTCTAGTTTAATGACAAAAGAGTTGGGATGCAAACCCAAACAAATCTTTCACAAACTGAGTGGTTAAATTTAGAAATGATTTTTTCAATATTAATAATTAATACGCTTGAATATTATTTTTAAAATATTTTGTTAAAGTTTGATTTTTCAAATACAATAAAATCTCAAATAACAGTTTTGTTAAATTCTTAGAGTTTTTCAAGAAAATCTTTAATGATTTTTATTTTGTGTTGGGGTTAAAAATGACTGGAATAATTGAATTTGACTTTATTTTTTATTAAAAAATTAGATATATGACAACAAATTATTTTCCTAAAAAATGTAAAAATATATATTTAAATTTAAAAATACAATCTTAATCTAAAAAACAAATTTCAGTTTATGCTGCATGTATTATCAAGGATGGTCGTGTGACCTATTCCGGACCAACATCCATATCAATAAGGAGTGGTAAACATGATTCCAGTACTGCTGCATCACATGTTGCAGATTTTGATGTACTTGTCTCTCTTGATATTTTCAAGAATGTGGCATGTACAAATGGTGGACTAGTAAAGCCTATAGCAATTATTACCGTTGATGGAAGCCCATACGAGAACCCACGTTATCCAAAAACATTGAATGCTGCGTATAAATTGTTTACCAAGCACAATCTTGATGCTTTCTTTATAGCGTGTCATGCTCCGGGTCACAGTGCCTACAATGCGGTAGAACGACGAATGGCCCCTT